AATTGCTAAAAAGGGGCTACAGTATAAAGTGTCACACTTCAAGGGGCTGAATCACATGGGGAAAACTAAGAGGAGCTGCAGCACATGAAGTTTCTGTTTTTAGGGCCTGAACACATTTTTCCCTAGAGTTTATTAATAATACTTTATAATTTATGATATAAATTAATATTATTATATTATGAATATATTATTTTTACATTAAAAATTATTTTAGTATTAAAAATTATTTTACTTTATAATATATTAAATTATTTAGTGTGTAAAATATAAATATTTTTATATTATACTTTAATGAATATTACAAATATTTTAATATTATATAATATAGAATAGTTTCTAATATGTTGGAGTTTATTAATTAATAATACTATAATAATTTATGATATAAATCAATATTAATAAATTATGAATATATTATTTTTACGTTATTATATTATTATATAAGATATTTTATTTATTATATATTTATATTATTTAATAAATTTTACTAATGCATTAGATTTACTACAATATAATATTAATATAATAATTATATTGATAATGACTGTATATTAATTATATTTAATATATATATTAGATATTATATTAACACATCCTCAAACTCAAAACTAAAACACCTAACTTAAAACACTTTAAATGCGTTTTGAAATAAGTGTTGTGTTTTTGGTTTGAGGATCATTTAGCTCAAAAAAACACTATGATTTCCAAAAGCAGTGTGTTTTGTTTTTGGCAAAGCCATCATGAAAACAAGTAAAACACCGTGGTATCCAAACAGAGCCTTAAGTATTTGCTTCCACATTATAGTTTGATATTTAATATTGTAATTATATTAAGGGAAAAATGTGTCCATGCCCCAAAAGTAGAAAGTTCATGTAACCCGCCCCCTTATATTCTGACCCAAATACATACTGTATTTGTGCTAAGGCCCTAAAGTATCGGATCCTGAGAAAAGCCCAACAAAAGTTACAAATTTACCCTTTGATTTGATTGAGCTTGGTAACTGCGCCCATCCCTTTAACCCCGTCTTCTCTCTCTCTCTCTCTCTCTCTCTCTCTCTCTCTCTCTCTCTCTCTCTCTCTCTCTCTCTCTCTCTCTCTCTCTCTCTCTCTCTCTTAACTTCTCCTTCTCTCTCACTTCCGTCATGGCCACTGAAAATGATCAGACCCTGGTGAGATCGTGGAAGGTGAAGGTGAGGACAGTGGTCATGGAGTTGGAGGTCGGGGAGTCATCTTGGAAACAGCTCGTGAACGCGGGTTCAACGACAAACACGGAACATGGTCCGGTGGGACCCGTGAGCTGACGGAGCCCAGAGCTTTGGTCCGATGCATCGTTGTTCTCCCCTTTCTAAGTTACAGAATATCTTTACCCAAATCAATGTCTTAATCAAGATAGTGCTCTTGTTTTCTTGTAATTTATGAAGGGAATCAATATTGGGTTTTTGTAGTTTTTCTCTTTCATTTAATTGAAATGGGATCTCCTTGGATTCTTGAACAGCGGTTTGGGTTTTCCTTTAATACCTTTTTCTTGTGTGATTTGGTGATTGACAGAGTTCTGTATAAGAGATTAACAGCAGAAATTTTCAAAAGCTCACATTGAATCTTCAGGCATATCGATATTTAGCTAAAAATTGAAGACAATGTGATTAAAAGTCCACTAAAGAATCTAAGAGCCTGTGAATTTGAAAGGGGGGACAAGGAAAATTAGAACTATGAATGTTAGTTTTAAGGGCTGTCATGTTAGTTCTAAGGACTGGGATGTTAGTTCTAAGGGCTGAACTGTTAGTTCTAAAGGCTGGACTGTTAGTTCTAAGGACTGGACTGTTAGTTCTACCAGCTTTCATGTTAGTTCTGTCATCTTTTACGTTAGTTCTACCCACTTTCATGGTAGTTCTGTTATCTCCTACGTTAGTTCTATTCGCTGCCATGTTAGTTCTGTCTGTTCTACCTTCTTTATGAGAACATTATAAATAACAATATCAGGATGAACATCATTTTTAAGTATCATTCTATAAAGTTTAAACCTAGCAATTAGATTGCCATGCTTGCACAAGCAATCGACCAAACTGCAGTATGCTACGACATCTGGCATAAATACCCTCTTTAGTATTTGAAAGAAAATTATTGCTGCTTCCTTCAACATTCCTTGCACATCATTCCCTTGAGAAGGATGGTGAAAGTAACTATATCAGGTATGAGCTTGTGTACTCCCAATTGTCTATAGATTTTATGTTGGTGAAAGTAACTACATGAATTAGAACTAGAACTTATAACATGAAGTGAGTTACAATCAACATAAAATGAGTTAGAGCTAACAAAGAGCACAAGAGCCTAAAACTAACATGAATTAGAACTAGAACTAACATGCAGTGGGTTAGAACTAACATGAATTAGTACTAGAACTAATATGCAGTGGGTTAGATAAAGAACAAGTTAGAACTAACATGAATTAGAACTAGAACTAACATGAAGTGAGTTAGAAATAATAAAGAGCAAGTTAGAACTAACTTTAAGTGAGTTAGAACTAACAAAGAGTAAGTTAGAACTAACAAAGAGCAAATTAGAACTAACTTTAAGTGAGTTAGAACTAACAAAGAGCAAGTTAGAACTAACTTTAAGTGAGTTAGAACTAACAAAGAGCAAGTTGGAACCAACATAAAATTAGTTAGAACTAACAAAGAGCCCAAGAGCCCCAAGGCCCAATCAAAGACTTTTAAATATATATTATAGGTTTAGGGGTTTGAACTCTTGACCTCCTCTCCAAATTACCAAGCTTTACCACTAGACCAAGTAGCCAAAGTTTTAATGTTAGTTCCACTTAAAGTTAGCTCTTACTTGCCATTAGAACTAACATGAAATAAGTTAGAACTAACTTGAAATAAGTTAGAACTAACATGAGTTAGCTCATGATAGAATTTAAAAAATGGCATAAATAACTAGAGTTAGCTCATGTTTGTTCTATCGCAACTCATGTTAGTTCTAATTTTTACCAACTCATGTTAGTTCTAATTTTTACCAGCTTGTGTTAGTTCTAATTTATTTAATACGTTAGTTCTAGCGTAAATGTTGGATCTGAATGTCATATTAGTTCTAATTTATGCCATATTAGTTCTAGCTTCTCCAGTGTTAGTTCTAACAGATATCGTGTTAGTTCTAATTTATTTAAGTCGTTAGTTCTAGCGTAATTGTTGGTTCTAAACGTCATGTTAGTTCTACTTGATGATGTGTTAGTTCTAGCTTCTCTAGTGTCAGTTCTAACAGGTATCATGTTAGTTCTAATTTATTTAATGTGATATTCCTAGAAAGTGTTGGGTCTAAACGTCATGTTAGTTCTAATTTATGCTATATTAGTTCTACCTTCTCCAGTGTTAGTTCTAACTAGTATCGTGTTAGCTCTAATTTATGTAATGCGTTATTTCTAGCGTACTTGTTGGTCTAAACACCATGTTAGTTCTACTTGATGATGTGTTAGTTCTAGCTTCTCTAGTGTTAGTTCTATTTGGTATCGTGTTATTTCTAATTTATTTAACGTGTTAGTTCTAGCGTAAGTGTTGGGTCTAAACGCGATATTAGTTCTAATTTATGCCGTGTTAGTTCTACCTTCTCTAGTGTTAGTTCTAACAGATATCGTGTTAGTTGTAATTTATTTAAGTCGTTAGTTCTACATAATTGTTGGGTCTAAACGCCATGTTAGTTCTACTTAATGATGTGTTAGTTCTAGCTTCTCCAGTGTTAGTTCTAACTGGTATCGTGTTAGTTCTAATTTATTTAAGTCGTTAGTTCTAGCGTAATTGTTAGGTCTAAACGCCATATTAGTTCTACTTGATGATGTGTTAGTTTTAACTTCTCTAGTATCAATTCTAACAGGTATCGTGTCAGTTCTAACAGGAGCTCAACTAGAACTAATATATCAACTAGAATTAACGCTTATATTAGAACCAACACTAGCTGGAAGTAGAACTAACATGAAATTAGCTAGAACTAACACGAGAACCACTAGAACTAACATGAGCTCAACTAGAACTAACATAGCCACTATAACATGGTATAAACATATTAGTTCTACTTAAAGTTAGTTCTAACATGAATTAAAACTAAGTTAGAACTAACATAAAATAAGTTAGAACTAATATAAAATAATGTTTACCACTAGACCAAATAGCCTAAAATATTTATATCAGTTCTACTTAACATTAGCTCTAACATGAAATAGAACTAAGTTAGAACTAACACAAAAAAAGTTAGAACTAACATTAAATAACTTAGAATTAACATGAGTTATTGCTCATGATAGAGTTTAAAAAAGGGCGGGAAATTTCCCTCTATTTTTTTTATCAGATCGCATTAATGGGCGTGACTTTCCATGTATTTTATGGACCAGACGTCTAGGGAAGATAAGTGGAGGGGTAATTTCGGGTTTTTTTTCAAAATACAATCTCTTTTTTTATACCGCTGACGTGGAGGGGCCTTAAAATATTAATTGGTACTTTTTGGGGTTGAATCATATGGGCCAAAATACAAGGAGGCGGGTCACATAAACTTTCTCATTTTGAGGCCTGGACACATTTTTCCCTTATATTAAAGGCACGTGCCACTTTTCTTCATTCTACTTCATGTTTAAGTTTTTTTTAAAAAATCTTAAATTAACCTTTACATCAATTAATTAATGTTATGCTAAATCTGACTTAATACTTGGCTATAAACATTGTTGGACAAAAACTTTATATTCATCTCTCTCTCTCAAATGCTCTCCTATGTTTGAAAAATGTCCCTATATTTGTTTAGAAAAAAGGACACCCTCACATTTGACAAAAAATAGCAAACATGCTATCACGTTTAGAAAAATCAAAGTTTGCTTGATGATAAATTTAGCCATTGTTTTGAGAAAATGAACGAATTTGTAAAGTAGACGAGCACGTGAAACTCTCATGCCCGAAATACATCACCGCATATAAATCCGTATGCGAGAATTTGTAGATGATCTATTCGACTGGAGTGAAAAATTACAGGGGCATTATAACTCGCGCCCATTTTAAAGCCCTAAACGGGAGCTCAAAAACCCTAAAAAAGAAAGAAAGAGCGAGAGTAGACGATCATCTTCTCTCCACAAGCTCGGTGGCCATGTCAACCTCCGCCTCGTCCCCGCGTGGAGCTCGAGATCCGAGAGTGGATTATTCCAAGCGACCTCTCCATAACTTTTTCGGTAACTCCTCAATAGTCTGAAGCTAATTTGATGTTCTAATATGATTATGGGCATTGAATCAGTTCAATCCGTTATTTTTACACTGTATTTTGCAGTTTAGGCCTTTATTCTAAGTGTAGTTTTAGCCGATATCTCTTCCTTTCTGCGTCTCAATGTGATTGTGATTGTTATTGCATAAAAAAATTGGTGAGGCTATTTAAGTGGTTAGCAGCGGATAGATGAAAGAAATTTCACTTTCTGTACTTTGGTTGTAGCTCTTCATTATTTAGGCCCATTTGGAAAATATTTTCTGAAATATCACTCGATGCGCTAATTGTGGTTCAGTATGGAGGGAATTCGTGTGGGGAGCCATCGCGGGGGCTTTTGGCGAAGGAATGATGCACCCAGTTGACACATTGAAAACACGGTTGCAGAGCCAGGCCATCATTAGTGGATATCAGGTACATATATGCCTTCATTACATAAAGACGCTTCAATTGGTTGTAAAGTGTTTTCTTGATAACATGAGTTTCTCAACAAATTTTTGGTGCAATGTGTTTAGAATCAAAAGAACATACTGCAAATGGTCCGAACGGTTTGGGCTGCTGATGGACTTCAAGGTACCAGTCTATTGCTTCAACCATTAGCTTTATGCTATCATTTCATAGAACACAAAGATTTTACAGAAGGTTGCATACTTTAAATGTATTCTCTTTGTCATTGTTTCCCTTTAATTATTCACCTAATGTTGTGTCTAAAGTTTAATCGGTATATGGTTTAACTTCTTGGTTTCTTCATTGTGATGCATCTGAAAGTAAGTTAACAAACATAATACTTATTGTAAAATTTCTATTTCAGAAATGCCTCAGAATTAGAAACACTAGTTGCCAAAAGTTTATTTATATTCTATTGTTATGATATGTAGGAGAATTCCCTCAACAGAAAATTTGACTTGTTTGACATGTAGACAATACACTGCATTCATTTGCATGTTAGAAACTTATTGTTTTTCACCTTAAAATATGTCGTAGTATGCTATGTTACCTTGACAAAAATCCAACTGTTTATTAGATCATTCTACTAGAAGTAGTCTTTTCATTCACATGGTATGAGAATTAAAACCTATAACATTTTTATGTTTCTTTTATTATGAATGGTAGATTATAAAGTGGATGTGAAGCATAGGACATCTATTCAGGAGGTGTATGATAAATTTTTTAAATTTAAACATGTATAATACAATTGACTACACATTGGAATAAATGTATTCATATCTGCGATAAATGTCCATGAAGTTTTGATGCAGGCATGGGTACGGCTGTATGGGTGTGTGTTAGGTACTGGTACGGCCTTAATAGAAGTACCCAGGTGACATAGAATAGTATCAAGCATTCAACTGTTATTATTTGCCAACTAGATGCTTTGTAATTCCATGTTTGAGAGATGATAATTAACATACAACTTCTGTGTTGTACAAAGCATGGTTTAATGTACAACAACACCAATAAATCCTTTATCCCAATTTTTTGCGTTCAGTCACATGAATCCTATTATTAGGTTCATTTCTGTTTAGGGCTATCTCCTTCATTTTGTTAACCACTACCATGGTCCATAACCTTCCGAGTTGCTTCTAATCAAGTCCCTTCTGGTCTACCACTAGTCTTTCTTGCTCCATTAACTATTATCTTATCACCTCTCCTGATTGGCTCCTATTATTGACCCCTGTTCCATGTGGCTGGACCATCTCAATTGATTTTCTCTTGTTTTATTCTCAACCGAAGCAACCTCTGATCTCCTACAAATGCATTCTTTTTCTTCTTCTTCCTCTTAGTGTATATCCACCAGTCCGTCATAATTCTCATTTCTGCTGGACTCATATTTTTGAACATGTTGTTTCTTAGTTTCCCTGCACTCTACCCTGGTTAACTCAATTTTGTATAAAAGAAAAGAGTGAGTTTGTCGGTGTATAAAGATATCTGTTTGAATTATTTTGACATCATAAGATTCACAGTCATTTCTTTTTCGTCATTTCGTGTAATATCCTCTTAAGGAAGGGTTTATACTTTATAGAGATTGGAAACTCTAAGGACTGAAAACAGTGTCAGTAACCAATATCTTTTCTGTCTAATTTTGCCTAACTTTTTTTCTTTTGATGAACTACTTGAAACCTCGCATGATGGTCATGGAAGGTCATTTTCTTTGTTGAATGAGCATGACCAGAAATGGTTAACTTGTCAAGGCATTATCAAGGCTGTAGCTTGTACCTTCCCTTAATGGCCGTTTATAGGTCTCCTATAATCAGCAATCTTCAGAAGAATGAAAATCAGATGGAAAGATCAACAAAATACATTCCTCATTTCTCTCTGAGTTGCACCAAAATTCATTCAGTTTTTGCGCATCATAATACTGGATGTTAATTTATAAAACCTGAATGAATCTTTGAATTAAGAAGTTCAGAGATAATGTCCAAACTTGATTTTTATGTAAAGCAAGGTATTCGTTTTACTATAGTACTAGGCACCACAACAAAACTTCATGGTAAAATTGAGATGTTATCAAGTATTCTGTTCGTAGCATAGTTGCATGGAACCCAATTTGTTCCAGTTCACGGAACAGAAATGGGAGCATGGTACGCCACTTACTTGGAGTCAAGATGCAAGGGGGGTAGGCTTATATTGTACGCTAGGGAACGTGGTATGCTCTTGGTTCGGTTTTTTTAATGTAAGAATCTGAGTTCTTAGTGTACAATTTTCTACAAGAGTCAAATTCAGGGGCCAATAATGGTAAGAAGATTCTCAAGTTGCAGTTAAGGTATGGTTTTTGTTGTTCATTTTTGTAGAAACAGTTGTTTTTTTTGAAAATGTAACTAATTTGAATTTTAAATTGCGTCACCAAAGTTGACATATTTGGACGTGTTAGACCACGTCCCAGCTCTCTACTGCACCGTGCTCTGGGACGATTAAATCCGGGTTTTGGTTCATTATAATGCCCAACGTTCCCAGCATCTATGGTTCATAGTAATAGGAACCTTTCTATAAGGATGTTGCCATTAGTTCTAAATTGTTTCTTGGGCCTTGCTCTTGTCTGAATGTTTAAAGTTTTCTAGCGTCTGCTTACGATGATTTTATTTAGAATATTTCAGCTTAAGAAGGCTTACATCACAAGTTTATGAAGAAAGGAAAACAAACATGCAAATATTGATACTTATGAAAATAATCTTAGAGAAGAGATGCAGACATTCAGCTGTTGCTATAATTAGACAATACCACAATATAGTGTTCTAATGGTCTATGCCATTCCTGTCTTTTCTGTGTCAATGTTCGCAAACAGTTTGTTGGATTTCATTCGTGTTTTGTAGAAAATATACAACCGTATTATAGTGCATCTGTTGATTTTGTGTGAGCGGGTGTGTGAGTTTCTCTACATGTGGGTTGGCCTTGGTACTAGATACCATTACATTACCCACTACTACTAGTACATTTCAGATGTTGTAAGAATCTCTTATTAGATTCTCAAGATATGCATCTTTTAACTGACTTCTGCATGTTGCTTGTGCACCTTAGTTGTGCATTTTTCTTGAATCTCTCTTGTACCTATTGCCTATCATTGGGTTATCCACATTGATGCAAAATCTGATAAGATTACAATTAACTTCAAGTTCCAGTGTCCTTGTGTCCAATCTGTACTCTCCTGGACTGGAAAACAGAATGTTCCATTTTTATTCAATACCTTTTACATGATAGGGGTTCATGTGGATCTTGTATATTGCTTCATATGATAATATTTTCATTTTCCACCTTATTATTATGCAATATACGACTCCTTATCATGTACTGCGTTATACATTCCAATGTAAACATCTGTATGGATGCTAAGTTCCTGTTAGATGCCTTCTTAGATATGATTCATGTAAACATTTTCATCTTAGTATTTTCCAAAGAAATGAATTTCTAAGGTTCAGTAAGTTGACATAGTAAATCGTATCATGAGGCAGGAAATATAACACATAAAACTTGTCGAGTCAAAACAGTAGATACCTTTATAGTCTGAGTGAACTTTTCCATGAGCATCTTGTTTCACATTTGATTAATATTTATTTGCATCTTTATGGAAGTTCTCACTTTCTATGTTTATGATCACTTAAAGACTTAATTTTGTTTTAGAATTTGATGAGGGTGAAAATTCCCTAAAGTTTTTTCATCTATGATGCTTATAGTTATAGTAATTTCCATACATGTACGTGACATTTTCTATTGAGAACTATCTTTATTTCGATGCCAAAATTTTGAGGAAATATCTACTATCAGATTTCATATTTGTAACAATTCAATTGATACTATATCATCTTGTAATTTGATCTGCACATGTAACTTCCTGAATTAGTTTCTTTCTCTTCATCTGAAAAAAACTCTTTTTCCAGGGTTCTATAGAGGAATTACACCTGGGGTAACTGGATCTCTTGCAACTGGAGCAACATACTTTGGTGTGATAGAATCTACTAAACAATGGATAGAGGAAGTAAATCCCAACCTTAGCGGTCATTGGTCTCATTTCATTGCTGGAGCAATTGGTATGACAATAACTTGAGGCTTCTGTTATTAGTTTACGAGCTTTGGATCTCAGTGAATGTTATCATTTTACTAGTATATATTTGTCTGTCTATTTGGAGATAGTAATATACAGTTAAGTCTTTTTAGTAGTTTCTTGTTTGTTATTTTAAGCTTCATCTTCTGGTCCGTTATATAGATATCAGGTATATTTGTCCATAATTGAAGAAGCGGCTAGCCTGATTTTTTGGTAGTGGACTAGTAGTTCCTATATTGCATTGAAATTAGGTACTAAAGGCTTCTGAATAAACTCATGGCTGGGATCTATGCTCTAGAAATCAAATTCACTATAGACACATCCAATGAAAATTACGAAGTGCTGCGGTGCAGTTTTTGGCTTGATCTACTAAAAAGGGTTGCAGCCACGTCCTAGATAATAATTTATAGTTCACAACAGCAATCAGGAGGCATGGCCAATGATAGATGCGCGTTGTAGTAAGTTCTAGGGAGCTAATGCTGTTTTTTTAAATGTACAAATGTGCCAACTAGTAATCTTCATCTAATTTGAGGAAAAAAGTCTCATCTGTAAATGTAGTTGATTTGTTCACATATTTTGTTAATCTTTATGAAACGTGTTTTTTCCGTCATTGAAGACAGATCATATGTCTGTATTTGTGCCATTATTGCATCTGTGCTTGCTTATCTAGCTTTCATGTCATATGTACCTTTCATTTTGTCTATACAAATAGTTATTGACAGTAAATATTTTGAACTATTTATATTTTCAGCTAGCAAATTGTATATATAATACATAAATAATAAGAATTTCGAAAGCCATCAGAAGTGCTCTTTTTGTTATGTTGCAGGAGATACACTTGGTTCCATTGTGTACGTGCCATGTGAAGTAATAAAACAGCGCATGCAGGTGCAAGGCACCAAAACATCTTGGAGTTCTATGTTAATGAAAGAGAGTGTTGCTCAAAAGTCTGGACTGCAAATTTATGATTACTATACAGGAATGTTTCAGGCAGGCCACTCCATATGGAAGCAACATGGTTTGAAAGGATTATATGCAGGGTATTAATCTTTTCTATTTTGTAGGGTTTTCGTAGTATGTTATGTGATTGTATTTTTTTTTTCCCCCATAATGTATCTTTTTTTATAATATATATCTTATTATTTATATATACTTATATATTTTTTATTCATTATATTATATATATATATATATATATTATATATATATTATATATATATATATTATATATATATATTATTTCTTTTTTGGTCTTTTGTGTGGTTGCCATTAATTTTTTACTTATTTATATTTCTCGTTCCATGTGTGGGGTAGGGTTTGCAAGTTCTTCCTTTCTTTTTCCTTTTGGGTGGTAGGGTGTTCTCAACTTTCTTTCATGATATTACTTCTGTATGTGTTTCCCTTGATACCCCATCGTTTATTGCTGGGGAAGTTCTCAGGTCTTTTTCCTTTAAGTATGTTTGAATTTGTTTTTAGCTGCCAGAGTTACCATTTATTAAAAGAAAAAAGTTCTCGTGAGGAACATCAACTATTTTTCATCTTGGTTTGAATGAGGAAGTTCAAGGTTAAAAGTCAAAAGGAAAAAAGCGCAGCTAGATATGCTTACTTGATTAATCATTACTTGGGTTAGGTTTATCTCTGTGTGACTGTATTCTGTTTCCCTGCACACTCATCCTTGCTCTCTCAAATCAATGCTATAAAAAACTAGAGTCAGGTGTAGTCAGCAAGATTCCTTTATTCAATGTCTTTTGCAGTACCCGGGCCAATATGCCATAGAGACCTGCAAACATTAGATAATACCTGTTCTGTTCCCATTAAAAGGTTCTTGTCTTGGAACTTAATATGGCATCCAGTTAGTTAATGGTTGTAGGAGGTCCTATTTGGTGACTCGAAATAACCCTTCTGTTCCTATTCAGGTGGAGAAAATCATTTCACTTTTGACTGTACAATTGGAGAAACTGTGCATTTTAGGCAAATAGAGAATGGATAACCGAGAGGCAAATTTTTTGTGGTCTTTAAATTATGTTATGCTCATGATTCAGCATCCTTAGGAGCAACCATAGTTTAAGGTATCTCTGAAGCATGAAATTCTAGGAGGTATCAAACTAGGTCCAGCCTCGAGGGCTCTCAAAGCTAAGGTTGAAATTTGAATTGAAAGAATGACTTGATTTTGTAGTTTGAGTGATTTTTTTTTTAAAAAAAGTGATGCCACATCACATGATTGAGGAAATCCTTCAATATGTATACATCAACCTGTACTGACTTTGTTTTAGCACCAGCTCGCATGATTGAGGAAACCCTTCAATATGTTAAGAGGCATGCCTTGCTTTTTTCTATGGGACAACCCTACTTGAACTGACTATTTCTTCAGATACATGCAGATTAAGGCATGTTTTATGAGCCTGTTATACTGTTCCCTTGAATCTTAATGGTCTGACCTTCTATTCCATGAACTTATATTTCAACTAGCTAATTTTGGTCATCTTCTTTACTCTCTCCAATCCTTAAAAGGCCATTTTGCCTGTTACAATTACAAGAATTTCCGAAAGGCGGTATATTAGATATTTGAATTGAGTGAATCAGCATGCCAAAATAAATAATTACATAAATAAATAAATAACAACAACAATAATAATAAATAAATAAAAATAAAAAATAAAAAACATTCATATGAATGTAGTCCTTGACAACAGAGTTCGTGACCCTTTTTCTTTAATTTTTAATTTATGTTAGAAAATGTGAAATGTAATGAACTTCGAAATTTTGATTGTAGGCGATGTAATTTGCAATTATATGTTTTACTATGCTTTATAATTTTTATATAGCGAACCATCATATTCGATGCCTATACGATGCTGATGCATGTTATTTTTCCAGATATTGGTCTACACTTGCAAGAGATGTGCCCTTTGCTGGACTTATGGTATGCATTGTTGGAAGCCTGTCAAATTTATTGAATACATACTGGATTGCATTACAAAGCACTTACCTGTTTGTGAATATATTAGGAGCCTTTCCATCTCGATAACTTGTTAAAATTTTTTAACCACAAGTTATGACTTGTACTTCACGCCGATGGAGTTGCTTTTCACTTATTTTATAGTTCCTATAGGGGACAATGCACTTTGGGGCACAAAATGACAAGGTACTATTTTGCGCTTCATGTTTACCAGTCCTTCATTATATGGAAGCAAAAATGTTAAGATATTATTTTTGCATTTATTTTGAGGCTTGACTAGTTATTATAATTTTCTAGTACTGTTTGTCCCCACAATAAAATCGCTTTTCCTTGGCTTACCTAGAATATATATGGATCACTTTGAGGCACAGAAATAAAAACCTGCTATAATTTGTTGCTATTTTGCTCCATAATTTAATTTCGATCTTCCTCACATTGCCTAGCGACAAGCGTACTTTTGTATATCTGTGGTATAAGCTCCTCCATTCATACTTTATACTTTTTCTTTATTTTCTGTTTTCACTATGTTTTAAGAAATTTTGCTACCATCACCACCTCTTTTACTTACCTGATCATATCTGTAATTTAGAGAATTGTTGTGTTACTTCAATTTTTGACTTTTTGAAAAATTATGTTCCAAATGTAAACCATCTACTTGAATTTTCTTTGGTGACGTGAACTTGACACAAATTATTTATTGCTACTTGTAGGTTACTTTTTATGAAGCCTTGAAGGATCTGACGATATATGGAAGGCAGAGATTGTTTCCTGGAAGTGACATGACTGTTAATAGTTCATTTGAAGGACTTGTATTAGGAGGCTTGGCTGGAGGTATTGTTTATTTCTTGCAATTTATACTAATACAAGGAACTCCTGAGGCAGCCTCAAACAAATTGATTTGCTCATTGCTCTAGTTATTTTCTAGGATTCAGTGCCTATCTCACAACACCCTTGGATGTAATCAAAACAAGACTGCAAGTACAAGGATCTGCTGCTAGGTGCAATACTTGATTACTCTCTAACCTCTGATAGTATTCATCTTTTATTGATTAATGTACTGTACATTTTGAAATAAAATGCTGATACCTCGTAATGTATCTTTTTTATTTGCTGCTTACAATTTTGAAATACACCCTCCACGAATTCTCTAATCCTATTATTTTTGTTGCTTTTATTTCTTTTGCCTTTATCACGGCATGGAGGAAATTCTTGGATGATGATAATTATACAAGTATACAATATTAGTAAGCATGGTTTTTGTAGGCTATTTTGCTATATTTGTTTTTTTCATTGCTAATCTAGTATTATCATCATGCACATCATTGCCTTTTCCCCATAAAATGGATAATTCAGAGCATGACTTATGTTGAGAAAGCTTTATAAAAGTGTTGTCTGAACTTTTACATGTGACTGCCAAACTGACGCCAGTCCTTTGTACTGATGAAGCTTTCAATTTTGCAGTATTTTTTTAATGGTTAATTTTACATTATTATCAGCACATCATAGCCTTTTCCCCATAAAATGGGTTAATCCAGAGTATGACTTATAGTTGAGAAAGCTCCATAAAATAATCGTCTAAACTTTTACATGTGACTGCCAAACTGACAACAGTAGTTCATGAATTAGCACCAATTTCTTAGCTAATTGTTAGCAGGAGAATGATGCGATAAACCTTGAAGACCAGTTGGTCAGTAGGTATGCTGACATCTTCTTGTCATGAGTTGAAGGTCATGCAATTAAGGAGCTGGTCTCGATATTCCTCTTGATCAGGAAAATAGTGGTAAAGTGTGTGATTTACTATTGGGGAATCACATTTGTATCTAGGTGGAGAATAAAGGCAAATACCACGTGGAGTCTCTTTTCAAGAGCCAAATAACCAATACTGTGGTCATTGAACTTTTGACATTGCCTTTGTATGACAAGGTATACATCTGTGTTATCCTTTGTCCAACGTGTTCTACCCTTGTCTTTTTGTTAGCTTATTTCTCAAAGGCTTCACTCCTTATTTCTTCAATGTATTTATTGCTGTGATTATTGTCTTTTTTGGCTTTGCCTCTTGTACACCTCAACTTCATCTCTAAGCATGCAGCCATGCACCCTCTTCTCCTCATACTGAAAAGTTGCATCGTAAATTTGTAACGTATTTTGTTGGTTGATGTTGATATTCACACTGCACTGTGCACTCCAATCCTTCCGTTTTCATTTGGGTCGCTGGTTTCTCCAATGTATTATATCTTCCAGTTAGTTCAGGCATAAATATAAAATACACAAATGACTTTTTGTAGTGAATAGTTGCATCTAAGTTGCAAAGAAAGCCATGAAGTAAAGCAAAGATGTATAATTTCGAGTACTGTGAAAATGCAGTACTTATTTAGTTTTCATGTTCCTCAACTATCTAGGACACTAAGAGGGTGTTATGGAGAGCTTAGTTTTTGAATCTCATTGAAGCTATGCTTAGCTTTTGGAGGCTTTTGGCTTTTATGATAAAAATTTTATAAACTTGAAAGGGTGGAAAAGACATTTGCTTGGTGAACGTAGCTTTAGATGACCTTATAAGCTAGTCTTTCAAAAGTTTGGGGAACCCCACTTTTTTAACCTGAGGTTAAAAAACTAACTTAGTTGAGATGTCTCCAAACATATAGATTTGGATAAGCTAGCTTAAAAGGTAGTTTGACCTAGAAATAAGCTCTCCAAACACCCATTAAATGACAAAAATATCTCGGATTCTTGAAATATATTTTAGAAATTTGTTTTGTGTTCAGGGATCTCACTTCATTTTTTCCCCATTACAAGTCATTTTTTCTTTATGCTATTTCTTGTTGGTAACCTCCTAAACTGTTGGTTGAACTTTTCTCCCCATTGAGAGGATTCTCACTTGCCTCTCTGTGCTCGCAACAATTCTTTCTACACACCTGAAAATTTCTTTTTTAATTAAATGGTGATATCCTCTTTTTTTTTTCCTCAAAGGTACAATGGTTGGTTACATGCTTTAACAAGCATTTGGAGGACTGAGGGCATAAACGGTATGTTCAAGGGCAGCATTCCAAGAATAATGTGGTACATTCCAGCATCTGCTCTCACATTTATGGCAGTGGAGTTCCTCAGAGATAATTTAAATGGGAAGCATGAATCTGATATCTGTGAGATCACAAATTTATCAGTAGAGACAAGCTCAAAGATTCAAAAACAAGTGTAGTGAGTTGATATTTGAAATTCAAGGAATCAGCCGATGTTTTAACAGGCAAGGTCATCTACTATAGTATCAAAGCTGAATTTTCTCTTATCAGCTAAACAATAGAAGGTTGATAGGGGATTACTTGCAAACTTGGCATTCCCATACATATTATACTGATAATAGAAAAAAGTATATCATTTACTAGATTCCTAATTTCTTGTATTTTGAGGGAACTCCCTGGTGAGGTGTTGTATGTTCTACATGTTTTGCTTAGAAAATCAGATATTATTTCTTATTAATAAGAACTTGATGATGTTTTGAAACTTCTTCGTACATCATATACCAATTCCTTTACCCTTTCGTACAGTATATGGACTGTTGAATTGATATTTTTTTCTGGTTAAAGAAGTATGCGCTATTGCGTAGATTTATCTCCGCAATATACATCGCTTCTGTTTATGTACCGATTTCCGGATGCTATTCCTATTTCTATGAACACACCATAGATGGCTACATTTCCCATGATGTATGCTATTATTTTTCAACAGACTTTTAGCTTTTGTTGTTAGGTCAACGAACTTTGTTCTTATTTCTATAAGCACGGCATAAGTAAGTACATCTTCCGTGATGTAAGTACATCTTCCGTGATGTGTGTTATTTATTTGTCATTACAGCCTTTCAGCTTTTGTTGTTAAATTCTGCAGATTTTTTGGTTTGCTTTTTTTTTTTATATGTTAATAATGACCAATTAGTGGACAAACTTCTGGGTTTTCAATTGTAGGCAGTTAGTACTGCATTGTTTGGTTAAGGGTGAAATGTTGGAAACGGGTTTCAACTCCAGGCTTCAATTTTGGGAAATGAGTTTCCTGAAGAGGGTTGTTATGAAAAGGGGCAATTTTGAAAAAAAAGACCTTTCTAAAAATGTTATTAGAAAAAATTGATCATTTTTAATTTTAATTAGAAAAATTGACCACTATTTAGCCATGTCATCATGGTTGGCTAAAAAGCGGTTGATTTTGTAAAACAATGACTTTAAAAAACACGAGACTACTAGTCTCGTCGAATTAGTAATTACTAATTAAAATTTAATATGATTTTTTAAAATACATTAGACTATTAATTAGATTAACCCCTTAATTAGTGACCACTAATTACACAGGATCAGTAGTCCCATATTTTAAAAAGTCCCTATTTTGCAAAATCAATCACTTTTTGGCCAGCTATGATGTGTGGTAGAAAAGTGATCGATTTTGCTTATTAAAGTGAAAAAATGGTCGATTTTCCTCTATCCATTTCCTAAAAAGTTTATATCCAAAAAACACAGTTAGTTATGAATCAATTTGAATCTCTTTCATGAAGCAAGTATAATGATCGTAGATGGTCAAAATATACTCTCTTTTGGATTAATGCTTAGTCCAATATAAACTAAAAAGACGTCCATGGGCTAAACACTCACTATGAGCCTTATATTTGCCTTGGCGAAGCTCACCCTGTGCTACAATGAAGCTCGCTCTAAAGACCAAGTCAAAAAGAAGCTTCGAGTGAAATTCGCCCAAAACAAACTTCACTCAAATAGCCCGCTTGGGCCACATCATCCACATTCCAAGGAAAGAACCCACATTCCGGCGAAGTTGACTAGAACAAACTTCGCCTACAATCACTTAGCGAGCGTCACCCATTGCCGTTATTAGCGAACTTCGTTTATGATCGTTTCAAAAGCTATTTTTATGGAAATGGTTCACCCCCATTATTCCTAAGTTAATGGCCATTAAATCCATATTTAATGGCAACTAACTCTCTGTCTTAGCTTACAAGAGGATGAGAGATTTTTCATTTTTGGAGGCATCTAGATATCTAGCAATCTGTCAAAGGATCTATCATCATCTTCAAAAGAGAAAAGAGGTCAAGTTTTGCTCAACTTTGGCAATCTTTTCAAGTTAGCAAGAAGAACCTTCATATACAGTTTGGACCGTCAACAAAGCACAAGAACGACGCTCCAGCGGCACACAGAAAAGAACCTAGCTTTAAACAAATTTTTTTTATTTTTCTTCAAATTGTAATCTTGAGTTAGTTATAATTTTAAAACCCAAAACATGATGGCGACTTCACTTAGGACTACTTTTTCAACTTCGTGCTGCAGTCCGACACTAAGGTCATAAAGTCTTTTGCTGAATCATTGGACATCGACTTTGACTACGTGAAGTTCAAGGGATTCATTTCCTTCAAGAAGCAAATATAGTGCATTTGGTTAGTTTTAGTTCTCCTATAGCCACGAACCTTACCCCATTGGGTGAGACTTGATTTTGTACCCAATAAAGTTCAATCTGACGATGTTGTATACGTTCAATGGTAAAGGATCTCCCAATCAACATATCTACCACTTTCCTTAGTCAATGGGGAATATAATAGGAAATGATGACATCAAGGAGAGGATGTTCATTAGCACTCTTCATGGGGTAGCCTTTCACTGGTTCCAGTATTTGGCCGAATGATCAATCAAGTTCAAGGCCAATTTGGAGTCACAGTTCATGTCTCAAGTCTATGAGGAGCATCAATGTGACCATGGCTAAGCTTCTCTCTAAAAAGCAAAGAGGTCAACTTGGTCAGGGTTATATCGAACGGTTTCGCAATTTAAGTTTGCGATACTGTGATATGTTGCTGCTACTGCTAGTCCAAACATGTTGGGATAATTTTCAGAGCCATATAGAAGCTCATGTAGGTGCCATCAAAAGTCAACTCATAGAAGCATTTGATGAAACAGGCAGAGATATGCAAAAAATCTGCCAAACGCTTTGATAAGTTGGATCCTTGTTCAAATAAAAAAAGGGGATAAAAACAAGCAAGGCCAGTTGTCTCGATTGAAGGCCAAGGAGACATTTGTTATCAAGGTCACAAAATCTTACAAATAGAAGAAGTCTTGGAAGAGTACCCAATGGAGTTACTCTTCAAGATGAGCACACTGTCGCCATTTTCCACGTGTTCAACAAACGCAATCAGTTGAAACTTCTCGAAGCTCAGTGCCCAGAAGAGGTTGGGAAAACTGTTGATCCTAACTATGGTCTCTATTACAGAATGTTACGGCACCCGACAGAGAATTGTTAGATTCTTAAGGATAAGATATAGACGTTCATCGATTCTGGGAACCTTAAGCTTCAGCCCGAGCAAAAGAAGGTTACTGCTAACATGATAACCCTTCAGTTCAGCTCCATGCTAACGACTCAAGTCCAAATGGGGGTCATTCCGATTCCCACTGCAAATATAGAGCTGGTTAATCACAATCAGCTGGGCTTCAGAATGAAGGTTTCATCCCTCTCACAACAAGAAAAAGAGAGATGATGTGGGTCCATCTCAAACTTCTCCAAGACGAGCATTGGACTTCCCCCAAGATACTGTACCACATCAAGGTTAAAGGGAAGATGAAGTCATATAACACAATCTCCATAATCGTATGCGAGTAGTCTTTGCAAGTCTCTTCGATAATAAATTCGGAGGAGGAGAAGGTTGTCATGACCACTCAACTAGACTAGAACCCATATGCAGAAACTAGATTGGGAAAGGGCTACATGAAGAATTACATCAACCAGGACCTTCCAAGCAGCTTTGATAAGGCATGAAAAACACAATCCATTGGACTCAAATTCCTCTTCTAGTATGATATAGTGGCTCAACTTGCCAACATCCCATCTTATAGTATCCTACACAAACTTCTACATTTTTCTAAGGATACAAGAGGCTTTGAGGAAAGTGTTGATGGATAATAAAGCGTTTCTCGCTCAGGTCCCCGAATCTTCTCGAGCTCATGATCAAAGGCAATGCTACCAATTGTAGGCATATAAAATTGCTTATAGGTCCCTTAACACGGCTCAATACGAACTAATGAACCATCGGGCGACGTATCCAAGCACGAACGTCAGTCCACCACACCGAAGCCAAGTGACACGCAACGAAGCGGATTAACAAGGCTACGAAGCTGACGAACCGCACGTGAACGACGGAATGAATCCACTCGCGTGCGGAATCAAACCAACGGTCCAGAGAGTCAACGAGTTATCCAACCATATAACGGATTCGAACTCAGACACCAAAAACAGATTTACTGCCTAATCGGGATCCAGACTTCCAAATCAGGAATCAAGTCAACAAATAGATGTCAGACCAATTAACCGCATAACCGAATCACAGACGAAGCGGATACAAGGACCGAAACAACCGAACGACGGACGCAAAGCCCGGAGTGGCTCGGCCAAGGCCGAGCCACCCCGGGGTGGCTCGGCAGATCTGATTCTCGGCGAGCACCCGCATCACAAAAAAGGCAGGAGTTTGAGGGGATCAAGATCTCAGATCTACGTTGTTACACTCCGGATCAAAGCTTGGTCTTTGATCCCGAGATTCGAGCGATTGTTTCCTTGGTGAAATAATCCCTCCGGCTATTATTTCCTTGGTGAAATAATACCCGTTATACTGCGTAGATCTGTCCGGATCTAGATCGCACGGTGGTCCACGGCAAACAACCCCGGCGCAGGCAAACAACCCACCAAAGCGAGTGACCGAATAACAGGAGCTCGCGATTTGTTCACAAGGAGAAAAAGTTGTAATTTTTGATTTTCTTTATTTTGATTTTCATTGTAACCGGATCTAAAAAAAAGACCGGATCTTCTGTAACTGAAAAACTGTTATTTAAGATAGCAATGACATCAATGAAGAAAGCGACGATTTTTCCGGCGAACAATCTGGCGACCAAAGTGGGAGCCACCGATCTCGCTGCTGAGATCGGAGCGTCGCAGCCGCGGATCTCGATCCCGGTCGTGGAGGAGGTCGAGTATGAGTTCGACCAGCAGAAGTACGAGGAGTACGTCTCCTCATCTGGATCAACCTCCCCCCGTAAGTCCAAGAAATTCCAGAAGTTCTCCTCTAGGAGAAAAGTCCGTTGGTGCGAAGAAGTTGAAGCCACCAACGACAACCTCACCCCGATCGACGCCGAAGTTGCGTCGGGTGAAGTCCCATCGGCCTCTAAGCAGGTCAAATCCGCCATCGAAGGCGTGGTGACTCTCTCTAAGAGAGCTCGCCAGAGGCAGCGTCAACGCCTCGCGAAGCAATTCGCCAAGGCCATGGAGTCCATTGACGGGGTCCGCTACAACACGGATCTGAAGAACAAACGAGGCAAACAGCCTCAACATCAAGTGAAGAATGGTTCCTCCAAGCCATCAACAATGGAGTGGGTCCGGGTCAAACGGAACCGTACGACGCTGGAGGAGCGTATCCGCAAGCGCGTGTTAAAGACGAGGACATGGAAACTAACTAAGATAAGGATCCCATATAGTAT